AATTGTTAATTTAAAACATATGGAATAGTATAAAATAATCATATAAAACATTAAAAACCATTGAAACATACTTTTTAAAAAAGCTATACCTAAAATCACAGAAGAGTCCAGTATCCTAAAAATCTCCCAAGAAGTAGTTATGTTGTAGTCAATCCATAAAGAGTCCTGTGGCACCTGAAAGATGAACAGGGTTTTTTTTTTGCACAAAATGTGTTTATTTTCAAGGTGCCTTAGGTCTCTCAGTTTCCCTGGACATCTTTGTGTAACAGCAGGACCAGGGTGCCCCCTCAACTAGTGAAGATAATGTAAGATCTGGAAGTTGAATTATGGCAACTGGAATTCTTTGTTAGGTTGAAACGTTTCGCTACTTATCCAAGCAGCTTCTTTAGTCAGTTCTTCAGATTGAAGAAGCTGCTTGGAAGAGTAGTGAAATGTTTCAACCTAATACAGTGGTGCCCTGCATGATGACGACCCTGCAGAATGACAAAATCGCATGACAATGACTTTTTTGCGATCGCTATAGCAATTGCAAAACGATGTTTCCTATAGGGGATTTTCTTTTGACGATGATTAGGTCATTGCTTCTCAAAGCGTTTGTTCGCAAAATGATGATTTTTCCGGCTCCACAAAATGGCTGCCCTGTATTTTCCGGACCCATGCTTCACAGGGCAGCCATTTTAACAGCTGATCGGCGCGCGAAAAATGGCTTCCCCTATGGGTGATCTTCGCTGGACGACGAGGTAATTTCCCAACTGGAACACATTAAATGGGCTTCAATGCATTCCAATGGGGAATTGTTTTTCGCTGGACAATGTTTTCGCTTAACAGTGATTTCAGGGGAACGGATTATTGTCATGGTGCGGGTCACCACTGTAAGAAAGAAGTCCAGTTGCCGTGACTCAACTTTCAGATAACCTCACCTGGATGATTGAGAATCTTCACAGATAATGTAAGGTATTCATGCATGTCCACTTGTGCAGACTTCTGGCAGTTTTTTTCTCTCTTCCTAAACACTCCTTCCACTTTTTTTTTGTTGTGGGCCTAAATCTTGCAAACTTTGTGTGCCTGAGGCAGCCATTTACATCACACATCAAATTTCAGTGGAGGAGAAAGGTTCCAGTGACACCTCTTTAGAATAGTGCTCTGGCCTTGTAAATGTCTGAATATGAGGCCTATGTGAAAACTGGTGATGCCGTGTTGCATTTCATCCCAACTGTTTTTGATGCTGATGCTATACTGATTGTCAAAGTTTATTTACTGATTAATTTGGTGCTTCACATTCCTTTATGCAGAATAATTACATCTTAATCTATATCACAACAGCATAAACAAAAGTCTTGTATCTTGATGAAGCTATGAATGTTTATCATATCCTAAAATATCTGTTCATTATGCTCTTAATGTAGCTGAACATTTGATTGCCATCTGAGACTGATTAAATTTTTCAGTGGGCTTTAATCAGAACCTTGATACCAACAAAGAGGATTCTACTTTGAAGCTATTTTGTTATTTGGCCAGAAGCCTATTGATATTTGCATATGGTTTGCATAATACACTATTGCTAATTGATGAGGTGTCTGGGCACAGCTCAGTTGTGCAATCAGTGCATGACCAAGACATCCCTAGAACCTCATCAATTAGTACCCAGTAGCCACAGCGTGTTTTGCAAGTTTCACACAAACACCACTAGGATTCTGGCTAATTATTACATTAAATCTCAATTTAAGGAGTAATTGGGAAGTATTTATTTTATGTTTAGAGTTCATTTAAAGTCATTTGCAACCCTTTTTTTGCTGCTGCTTTTTAATTTTATTTTTGACACATACATATATACAAAACAAATGGAAACATAAAACAAACAAAAACAACCCTTTTTAGACATAATTTTTAGTAATGGGCTTCAGAATTTCTTTTTACAACTGAGAAAGTGTTTTGAATCTTTTTTTTTTTTAGGGCAAATGGCTTTCTACAGTAGTTTTTAAAATGCAACAAAAAAGAGCCACAGTAATTAAGCTACTCCTGTAGGCTTAGATCTTTTTATATTGCTGTGGATAAATCAATTCCACAGATTGCAAAGATGCTATGAAGGCAACTATTCAGTGGGTTTCTGATTATATCCATAGAGAACCCTTTTGTACTGCTCATGCGGCAGAAGCAGACCTTAAACTGCTGCTACTTGACATAAAAGTCTGACAATGCTTTATCTCCTTGTAAATAAGTTATAGTTGGTGAGGCCCCACTTCTTGCAACAATATATTTAATTAATGGCTTCCTCTTTGCCCCTTTGCTTTACAATGTTTTCTGCTTCTTGGGTTTCGGCTAGGGGTGTGCACTGTGTTTGGATAATTGTGTAAAAACCAAATTAGGGGTATTTGGGCATTTCCAAGTTAACCATGGGGCAAAGCAAACAGTTCAGAGGCCAGAATGGTGCACTCACTGATTCCTTGTGTTGACTTTGGCATTCACCTGCTCTGACCAGAAGTGGGAAAGAGAAAGACTAAGAAGAACATGTTCTTTATCGATGGTTCCGGTTCCGGTTGGGTGAGACAACATCGTTTGTATTGCGTTCTCCGGCCTAATCTTTTAAAGTTTTCTTTAAACAATTATCCTGTCCAAGATAGCCTTTAAAAAACCTCTGAAAAGGAAGCCAGTTTATAGAAAGAAGGTTGGAAGTTCAGTTTTTCCTGTGGGATCTGCTATTTGGTTGGTTAGGCATCCTTCAGTCTCGAAAGACTATGGTAACGTGCTCTGTATGGAGGACTTGGAACAGCGTCTAGTGTGGCTGAGGAGGCCAATTCGAGAGTGACAATCTCTTCCACACTGAAGACAAATCCAATCTGACCCCTGTCCAGCTCCCTGATTTTGCTGCTTTTGTGACTGCCTCTTCACCTCGGCCTGCTGGATAAGGGTCTCTTCAAATTGGGAGCATTGCATCATGGCCTCTGCTATTGTGCTAGTAATTATTATTATTACTGCTGTGCTTGATGCCAAATGGAGAAACAGAAATAGATTCGAAAACAAGCAACTTGCAAGCTAGACTCTGTGGTTTGTTGTGCATACCTTTGGTGGGTGTTAGGACAAGTATACACAAGCAAGTAAGCACAGTTAAAATTGTCCGTGGACTAGAGGAATGGGAGTTTTGTTGTACCAGCAGTAAGAAGAAAAGAACCCTGTTGTGCTAAGTAAAGAGGCTTCTAAAGATAACCTGCCCAAAGTTAATGCAAATGATTTAAGAAAATTGTCATAATACAAGCAACCACAGAAATCTGATGTGATTTAAAATTGACTTATCATGATTTTAACTAGAAAACAGAAGAAGGTTGTAGATCAGAGCAAGCTGTCTGATTATTTTACCCCCATGAAACAGAAAGAGAAAGGAGGAAAAGGGAAAGGAAAAGGAAATTGTAAAAATTCCACCCCACTCCCTGCACCAAGATCAGCGTTGAAAGTACAAGTAGATGCACTACCAACTCTGAGGGATAACA